CAAAGTCTTTACATATGTACAATCAGTTTATTGTGTGTTTTAGAACTATGTAGACTCACAAAATTGATCATGTTAAAAAAAAAAATGCTTATTATTGAAACTTTAACTTAAATCCCGAGTGTATTGCCGCAATCCCTCCAAGCAAATTTTCATATGAGACAGCCTTGAAGCCTGCTTCTTTTATCATTTCAACAAATGTTTCCTGAAAAAACAACAAAACAGATTCTATTACTTCGATAAGAAGCAGTTTTTGAAACGTATAACTTTTCATATTTTAGCTAGCCGTATTCTCTAAACAACTGGAAACGTATAACTATTCCTATTTTAGCTAGCCGTATTCTCTAAACAACTGGAAACGTATAACTATTCCTATTTTAGCTAGCCGTATTCTTTAAACAACTGGAAACGTTTGACCATTCCTATTTTAGCTAGCCGTATTCTCTAAACAACTGGAAACGTATAACTATTCCTATTTTAGCTAGCCGTATTCTCTAAACAACTGGAAACGTTTAACTATTCCTATTTTAGCTAGCCATATTCTCTAAACAACTGGAAACGTTTAACTATTCCTATTTTAGCTAGCTGTACTCTCTAAACAACTGGAAACGTTTAACTATTCCTATTTTAGCTAGCCATATTCTCTAAACAACTGGAAACGTATAACTATTCCTATTTTAGCTAGTCGTATTCTCTAAACAACTGGAAACGTATAACTATTCCTATTTTAGCTAGTCGTATTCTCTAAACAACTGGAAACGTTTAACTATTCCTATTTTAGCTAGCCGTATTCTCTAAACAACTGGAAACGTTTAACTATTCCTATTTTAGCTAGCCGTATTCTCTAAACAACTGGAAACGTATAACTTTTCTTATTTTAACTAGCCGTATTCTCTAAACAACTGGAAACGTATAACTATTCTGCATATATCAGTATTATTAATTCTACATATATCAGTATTATTAGTTCTGCATATATCAGTATTATTAGTTCTGCATATATCAGTATTATTAGTTCTGTATATATCAGTATTATTAGTTCTGCATATATCAGTATTATTAGTTCTGCCTGTATCAGTATTATTAGTTCTGCATATATCAGTATTATTAGTTCTACATATATTATTTCTGCCTGTATTAGTATAATTAGTTCTACATATATTAGTATTACTATTTCTGCCTGTATCAGTATTATTAGTTCTACATATATTACTATTACTATTTCTGCCTGTATCAGTATTATTAGTTCTACCTGTATTAGTATTATTATTTCTGCCTGTATTAGTATTACTATTTCTGCCTGTATTAGTATTATTATTTCTGCCTGTATCAGTATTATTAG